CTGGGCCCGGCGCGCTGGCCCAGGAGCCACCGTCGCTCCAGCCCACGTGCAGCGGCGAGGCCCCGCAGCTAGGCAGCCCCGAGCTGCCGACGCCCCATTACGAACCAGGCACCGAGCAGTGGGTGGAGCTGGTGGGCGTGCTGCCCCCACACCTGCTCCTGCCGCAGCAGAAAGTGGTCCTCGAGCCACTGCCCGGGCTCCCGGCCCGAGCCAGCCCAGACCAGAGGGTCAGGATCCAGAGAGTCCCCCAGGTGCTAGTGTTCGGCACGGCTGCCACGGCCCTCAAAGTAGGTCCCCGACACACTGGCGGGGGACAAGGGGCGGGCGGGGGCGGGATCCGCCGGCCCCGGCCTGCGCCCGGCCCCTTAGGCCCTGGACACCCCACCTCTACCAGCCAGTCTGGGGAACCACCTTTGACCCTCTCCCCAAAGCCCATCCCAGGTCCCAGGCTCTGCCCTTACAGACGGGTGGAGGCGGGTAAGGGTGGGGAACGCGAGCCCCGCCCCTAAAGCCCTGTGCGTAGTTCCAGGTTCCGTCCCACAAACCGGGCCCCACGCCTGGACACTGTCTCAGCCCCTAAATCCTGTACATGATTTCCAGGCCCCATCCCTGCAGACTGGGGTTCAGTCCCTGATACAGACTCCATCCACAAGGCACTGTCTATAGTTCCAGGCTCTGGCTTTAGCAACAGCCTTGTCCCAGTGCTTGGCTCTGCACCTGGGGTCCAGCTTTCACATCCACAGTAGAACCCTGTCTGGGCTCCCCCTCTGTCTGCCCCACCTCAGGCCCCACCCTTGCTGTCCCTAATCAGAGCAGAGTCCTAGCTTCTGACACAGCTCTGCCTGATTCCCAGCCCTGGCAGAGGCTGCAGTTCCTGGGCCTCTGACTCCTGGTCCTGTTTACTGTGCATTTAGAGAGCCTAGAAGTGCAGCCTTTCAGCCTGGGAGCCAGGTGTCCAGGAGAGGCGGGGCTGCCACCAGCCCTTTAGAGGCAGAGGCGGAAGAGTGGGCTCACCTCTGACCCTCTCCATGCTCTTTGTCCCATGACAGGTGCAGCAGCTCCAGCAGGTACCTGTCCCACATGTGTACTCCAGCCAAGTGCAGTATGTGGAGGGTGGCGACGCCAGCTATACAACCAGTGCCATGTGAGTGTGTGTGTGTGGGGGGAAGCTGGGGGAAGAGACAGGATTAGGATCATAGGTCTGCTCGGGACTCCCCAGGACTGGAGGGCCCAGTCCCAGCCCCCAGGGGACGAGACAGCCTTCAAGGCTTCTGATGACAGACAGGTGGCAGGTGCTCCAGCAGCCACCAGGCAAAGGTAAAGCAGGGAGGACCCTTATAGGTTGGGAAAGGGATCCAGCATAGCTTAGGGCTTTGGGGTCAGATGGGCCTGGTTTTTAGCCCACCCCCCCAAAAAATTTTTTTAAATTAAAAGTTTTACAAGATAAAAATGTCTAAATAACAGAAAATGTTAAACAGTGAAAAAGAAATTGCCTTCACTCTTTAACCCCCACCCTGCCCCATGGGGGCACTCTGACCTGTTTTTTATTTCCTTCTAGAGAGACTCTGAGAATAGAAACTACCCTTTCTATGTTCAAAAATAGAGGGAGCATGTTCTATCCCTTATTTCTTTCCCCAATATGTATCTCGAACCTCATCCTCTTATTTGCTCAGATGGGTCCCAGTCACTCTCTTTAACACTGTGCAGTACTCCACTGTGTGGACGTAGCATGAATAATAAAGCCAGGCCCCACTCAGCTGACACATAGGTGACTTCCACTCCCTGGTACTGCACATGGCACAGCATTAATACCATGCCCCAGACCTGCCCTAGCCCCAGCCTGGGATCCTCCACATGCCACTTTCCCTCTTCCATCCCCCATAGTAATAATTCCAGGACTGTAGTAACTGTTGTTTCAGTTTTTAGAAGCTTCATTTGGTTTTCTTTGCATTTTTCTGATTTTTCTTATATTTCTGCCACCTTTCCCTGTGGGCGTGACGCTGGTGGTAGGTTGGCTCATGGACCATGCTTAGCTTGGTTCCTGGATCATGATGCTGTGGCTACCTCCAGGGGCATGGCCCCAGCACCTGAGTCATGGTTCATGGTGTCCAGCTACCTCACAGTTCTCTTGATATATTTCTAATGCTGCCAGTCTCCTAGCTGTGCATTTAACCATTGCTGGGAGGGACCACAGAGGGGCATTACAGAGAGGAGACAGGCCCCAAGGACCACTAGGATGTCAGAATCAGAGCTGAGCCATGGACCCAGGCCTGGGGTCCCAGGGTGTCTCCATCTGCTTCCCTTGGTAGCATCTGTCCCTTGCTTTTCTTTGAATTCTCCCCTCTGTGATTATAGTATGTGAGATGCCATGTGGTCCATCGTTACCATCAGATTTTTCTTCTATATGAAGTTCTTAGGGCAATGTATCTTCTCTTTTTTCTTCAAAATGGATTGTTACTATGTTCCCAGCCCTTGGCTGGCCTTGATCCCCACCCTGGCAAAAGCCACAGCCCCTGTGCCTCTGTCCCTGGCCCTGTCCAGGCCAGTATCAAGGATGCATACATTCATTCAGTCAGTCAGTCAACAAGTAGCTGCCAGAGCAACATTCTTTTGGAGCAATTGTTGCATGTGGGGAACTGGGCTGGTCCTGGCTGTGGTCCTTGCCACTGGAAGGGGTAGGCACTTGCTAGTGCCAGTTAGGGTCACACACCCTTGGTGTCAGTCATGTTATAGATGTGAACCTGTGCACAGTGATCGAGATCTGGATTAAGGTGACGGGCAGGGCCACACACCTCCAGTGATCATACCTCTCACTACTCTTGGACCCACCAACTCCCTCTCCTGGCTGCCCCCAGAGGCCCACAAGGCTCCCTCTTCTGCTTCCTCTTCATGAGATGGCTCCAACAGTTCCTTCTGAGCCAGGCTATCCCATACTAGCCTTCCTACCTTTCTGGATTTGTAAAATTTAATGTTATTTTTAATCACTAATATGTTAAGAGGGCTCAAAAATCAAAACTATGTCCAGTGATGTCCAGTGAGGCAGCAAGAGAGGTGCCCCTGCCCATCCCCTCTCCACCCCCATAGATGGCATATAGATGGCAGGTGTAGATATGAAATTCTGCTTAGTCTCCCCTCTATTACTAAGACATCATCTGCACCCTTCCTCCCTCTTTTCACCTATTGGAATGTTTTGGAACTTGTTCTTTTGGGACCATGAGACCTTCCTCCTCCTCCCTCTTCCACTCACCCCTATGTAGAATTTCTCCACCTTTTACTTAGCCCCTAAAGATGAACCGACAGTCATTTTTACTTTCTTGCTATGATTTGCAGCCTTGAGCCAGCATCATCTGAGGCAGGTCCTGGGATAGCTGGAGAACTCTCCAGGGCAGAATAGATCGCTGGATCCAAAGAAAATGCATCTGCACTCAGGGTGGCCACTGGATTTAGTAGAGCCTCCCCCTTCCAGTCTTCTTCTCCTCCGGGGCACTTCTGAAGTGCTCTCAATTTACCTTTGCAATAGGCTGCTTTTCCAGCTCCCCAATTAGAACATTAACTCCCCCACGCGGGGCCTTTTTTGTCTCACCCAATTGCAAGTGCCTAGTACAGTACCATACCAGCATACAATAAGTGCTCAATAATTTTTTTTTTATTGAGTGAAGTATGTGACCTGTTGCAAGTTACCTAAACTTCCTTTTTAAAAATAATCTTTGGGAGGCAGGTGTTTTTGTTTTGTTTTGTTTTATTTTTATCCTCACCTGAGGATACGTTTTTTTTATTGATTTTTTTTTTTTTTTTTGTTAGGGAGAGAGGAAAGGAGAAACATCAATGTGAGAGAGAAACATCAATTGGTTGCCTCCTGTATGCTCCCCAATTGCAAGCCACCCTGCCAGGGCACCTAGTCCTTTTGTCTTAGCTTCCTCACATGTGAGGTAGGGACTCCCATGTCAGGGTGCTGCTTTGAGGATTCAGTGAAAATTTGCCCATCAAGCACTTGGGGTGGTGCCTGGTCTGACACTCGGGCTTGCCTTGTCCAACACTCAGGTTGTGGCTTTCTGCTCCCAGCCACCCCTGTAGGCGCCTCCTCCTTCATGTCCCTTAATTGCCTGGCTCTTGCCCCTGACTCCCCTCCTTTTGCTTCTTTCTCAGCCGTTCTAGCACCTATCCCTACCCCGAGACGCCACTGTACACACAGACAGCAGGCACCAGCTACTATGAGGCTGCAGGCACGGCCACCCAGGTCAGCACGCCTGCCACCTCCCAGGCAGTGGCCAGCAGCGGCTCCGTGCCCATGTACGTGTCTGGCAGCCAGGTTGTCGCCAGCCCCACCAGCAGCGGGGGCGGGGCCAGCAACAGCAGCAACGGTGGCAGTGGTGGCAGTGGAGCCAGCGGTGGGGGCAGTGGTGGTGGCAGCAGTGGCAGCAGCAGCGGAGCAGGCACCTACGTGATCCAAGGTGGCTACATGCTGGGCAGTGCCAGCCAGTCCTACTCCCACACCACCCGTGCCTCACCAGCTACTGTAAGTACGAATCCTGGCCCCTGCAGAGGCAGGTGGTGGAGACCCCTGCAGACACCTAGGTAGCCTGGCACTAGAGTGCTCAGATGAAAATGGCCTGGGATCAAATTCTCACTGTGTGGTCTCAAACAAGTGATTCTGAGCCTCAGCTAATATGGATGAAGCTTTTAGGGTAGTACCCTAAGAAGGGTCACCTCTGATTATAATCGATAATAGCAGATAGATAGCGAAGAGAAGGAGAAGCAGGCACCATCATAAGGGGAGCTGCCCTGAGCAATGTTCTTTGTTCATCTGGAAGACATCAAAATAACCTCGTTCTGCTCAGAGACTGCTGCATTTAGTCACTTGGGCAGCCCTGGGTCCCAACCCCAAACGGGCCCCTCATCAGCTCTGTGACCATGGGTCAGGGCCTGGTAGTAATGGGGTGGTCTCTGTCCTCAGAGCATGGGGTCTGGAGCGATGGCTTCCCCACTTTTTTAACTACTGTCCTCTCACATGGTCACCCATTGGGGACCACATAACCAAGATGGACACTTTCTCAGAAGGCAGGACCTCCCCTATGTACCCATGCAGCCTGGCTTCTAGTCTAGTTTTCTTTTTTCTTTTTAAAATTTTATTTATTGATTTTAGAGATAGAGGAAGGAAGAGACAGAGAAACATTGATTTGTTGTTCCACTTATTTATGCACTCATTGGTTGCTTCTTGTATGTACCCTGACCTGGGATGGAACATGCAATGTTGGTGTATTGGGACAATGCTCTAACCAACTGAGCTACCCAGCAAGGGCTAGTCTAGTTTTTCTTAATGTTGGTGTGACCCACTAACTGATTTCATGATCCCCCTAATGGGTCCGCACTCACAGTTTGCAAACATGCTGTGCTAGAACAGTGCTGTTCAATAGAACATTCTCTGGTGATATGTTTTCTCTGTGATGCTCAGTACAGAGGCCTGTGGCCACATGTGGCTATCAAGCACTTGAAATTTGGCAGGGGTCACCAGGGAACTGAGTTGAGTTGCTTTTTTAAAACTATTTTGATATGATTTTAGAGTCACAGGAAGCTGCAAAAATAGTAGAGAGAGATATCCCATGGGCCCATTCTCAGGTTACCCCACTAGTTACATTTGACGTAATTGTAGTATGGTATCCGACCAGCCAGGTAGCATTGGTATAGTGTGGGTGTCTGCTGCTGTGTGTGCAGATTTGGGAAACCACCACTGTAGTCAAGATGCAGAACTGTTTCAGCACCACAAAGGTCTCCCTCCTACTAACCATTCCTAGTCACCCTGCCCTCCTCCCTCCCAACATCCATAACCCCCTGCAACCACAAATCTGTTCTCCAAATCTGTAACTTGAGAATGTTCTGTGAATGGAATCATATTCCCTATGACCTTTTGACATTGGCCTTTTTCACTCCGCATAAGTTAATTTAAATTTGTATTTCAATAGCTGTATGTGCCCGGCTGGGCTTGGCTCAGCTGTTGAGCATCGACCTAGGATCCAGGAGATCGTGGTTCGATTCCTGGTCAGGGCACATGCCTGGGTTGGGAGATTGATCCTCGGTGTGCAGGAGGCAGCCGATCAATGACTCTCTCATCATTGATGTTTCAACTCTCTCCCTCTCCCTTCCTCTCTCTGATATCAATGAAGATATATTTTTAAAAATTATTTTAAAAAAAGAATAAATCTCATTTAAAATAAATAAATAAATAAAAAGCTGTATGTGGCTGACAGGACTATATTGGACAATGTGGTTCTAGAGAGTTCCCATGGGTCATTGTAATACGATGTGCCCTACATTGTGGTTGGCAGGATCACAATTGGAAATAGGTACAGAGAGCATTAGCAATGAGTACTACAGCCCCGCCTTATCTGGGGGGGGGTATGTTCCAAGACTCCCAGTAGATGCCTGAACCCTATATAAACTGTCATTTTTTCCTATATATACATACATATGATAAAGTTTAATTTATAAGTTAGGCACAGTCAGGGATTCACAACAATAACATCATAAAATAGAACAATTGTAACAATATATTGTAATAAAATTATGTGGATGTGGTCCCTCTCAAAATATCTTATTGTACTGTACTCAACCTTCTTGTGATGATGAGAGCTGATACAATGCCTACATAATGAAGTGGAGTGAAGTGAATGATGTATGAATTGTGACTTAGTGTGTGAGGCTACTACTGACCTTGTGATGTATTACTTCTGTGATCCTGGATCATTGAGCCATGACAATGTCAATGATTGGATATCAGGAGCAGACAGTGTTGATGGCTGGGGAAATTTAATATTTTCACATTGTGACTGAAACTGCAGGAAGCAAAACCATGGATAAGGGGCAATACTGTAGTTGACAAACTGAAGCGATTCTTAGCACTCTTCCATCCCTATTCTGGCCCTAGGTCCAGTGGCTCCTGGACAACTATGAGACGGCCGAGGGCGTGAGCCTACCACGGAGCACCCTCTACTGCCACTACCTGCTGCACTGCCAGGAGCAGAAGCTGGAACCCGTCAATGCTGCCTCCTTTGGCAAGCTCATCCGCTCTGTCTTCATGGGCTTGCGCACCCGCCGTCTAGGCACCAGGTGGGGCCACCTGCCCCTGACAGCCACAAGGACCTTCCCACCCCAAGTTATCCAGCGCCTCAGCTACCCCTATCATGCCCTCACTCACTCCCCTGCAGCCCCCCTGGCCTCTCTACAGCTTCCCCCCCAGGGCCTTTGCTCCAGCTATGACTGATGCCTTGTGTGCTTTCCCCTACATTTTACTCAAACATCCTTTGGCCCCCTTAACTAAAACTGCAGCCTTTCCCTACCTCTCTGACACTCCGACCCTTCCCCCTTCCTTGCTTGCTTTTTCTCCTTATCACTTCCCATCATCCAACATGCCTTTTATGTTACTTCCCTTGTTTCTTATCTGTCTTCTGATGCTGAAATACACACACCTTGTGAGTACAGGGGCTGCACACAGTCAGTGCTTAATCAAGGGCCTTAAGTCAGTAAATTCACACAGGAAGGAACAGGGAGCCATTCCACAAACCCACCCTTCCCTGCTTTTCTTTTGCAACTCCTACGCCTACACATGCATCTCTCAGTTCGTTTCCACCTTAGGCATCACCTCATAACCTTGGGCAAAGTGCCACATCTCTCTGTGCCTCCATTTCCTTACCTGTCCATTAAGCAGTCTTCATAGGATTGGGATGAGGAGCATGTGGATTTGTATGTGCTCAGATCTCAGAACAGCACCTAACATGTTCTTATGACTAGTAGTCAACAAGTGTTTGCTGCCTCGTGCAAGGATTGGGAGTTGAGGATGCCCCAGACACTGGCCCCGTCTTCACAGAGCTTAGTTGGCACTTGGGGGCCTCTTGGCACCCGCAGCCCCTATGCTACCCCAGCACACATCCCCGGCTCTGTGGAATGTGTCTCCTTGCTGTGGGCTGTGTTTGGTCCCCAAGTAGCAAGGAAACAGGTGTGACGTGAAGCTCCCAGTGGATGACTAGTGGCCTCTGCAACCCAGCCCTCACTTTCCACCTCACTCCCAGGGGCAACTCCAAGTACCACTACTATGGCCTGCGCATCAAGGCCAGCTCGCCCCTGCTGCGGCTGATGGAGGACCAACAGCACATGGCCATGCGAGGCCAGCCCTTCTCACAGAAGCAGAGGTAAAAGGGCAGGCTGGACCCTACACTGATGGGTAGGAGATGGTATTTTGGCTGACCCCCACCCAATT